GCGTTACTCGTCACCGATCGATTCGTTCGTAGCGTCGATTTGACATTTATTAATCTGACGAGGTGTCGGTATTTCGGTAAAATGTAACAGCACACCGATGAAACACCGGAGAAAGCGCATTCTGTATAATATGAATTTGGCCTGAGAATATAAGATATGCGTATTTCGAAGAGTTTCTATATATAGCAGCAAAGCGAGAGGGAAACGTTCTTTTATCGAGCTGTCTTTAATATATTTTCAGGAATGAAACGTGAAAAACGATCCATATTTTGGAGGCTTTTGATGAAAAATAGATTTTTATATCATTGATTAAAGTAACTCGTCTCTGTCAATATTTGGGATATTTATGAGATGTGGTGGATATACCTACACTGCGCTGACAATTGAAGTTGAGAACCACGACGGGTGTGTAATATGAAGATAAGATGTCCCCTATGTTCCCATGTGTGCCAGGCTTCTCGATCGGGGATTATGTTGCCATCTACGCTGACCTCACCCCCTCAAACGAAAACATCTCGTCCTAGTGCGCCGACCAGTCGGCCCAACCCCATAACCTTTCGCACTCTTACGTTCGTCATTCCTCGTGAATTTTCGTTTCTTATTTGTCGTAAACCTGTTCGAGAGAAATGGCCAAGCACTCGTTCCTATTTCTTGAAATTACTTGCATCTTCGGCCGAATTATAGCGCCCATCGCAAACCGAGAATTGTACGCTCGGTCGTGTGTATCCTTGTCACTTCGGGGGGATGATGCGCGATTTTCGCGAACGCGTATTCATAGACGTGGGGCACGTACGGTGCTCTCTCCGGAAGAGAAAAAGTTACGTGGTCGAATTTACGCTCGTGTAATTTGGAGGGACGATACGCAGGATGGCGCTCTCATGATTTTTTAACGCAACACGCTTTCACGCTCTTATGACGGGCTTACGATCGCGCGGTAACTCTCCCGTGTTATTTTACAGGGGCGGCTGAAGTACACTTTTATGAATCCACCATCAGGAATGTGCGCGCCTCGCGACCGGTGCGTTAAACTCCGCGGGATGTTTTCCGTTCGTCGTTTTTGTAGCCATGTCCAACAGACCTGAAAGCGTCTATTTCTCGTTGCCGAAGCAACGGCTGACTGTGCGATAACAATCTACTCGGACGATTCAGTAATTCTCGAGGAATCGTAGTATGAAGATCTCGATCAAAAACTGATGGTGATATTTTCGTTGAGGCAACCTCCCGCGGCGAAGTTTTGTTGGGACAATGCGGTAGAAAAAATATTCGAGTCTGCCTTTACGCAAATTCTACCTGAGGCGTCACCAAAAATTGATCGCAAAATGATTTGTTAATTTCGGATCTGCACGCACATCCGCAAAATAATGTTTACTTAAGGGATCAGGAGAAGAAGAGAGCTTCTCCTCTCTTGACATGAAACATGTTCCTTTAGAAAGCGCGTTGTTATGCGCCATAATCAGAAACATTGTAGGTGGACTTAACGATTATGACTGGCGTCGCGACCCTCTCCGTTCGAGTACGCGCGAAATATTCCCTCGATTTTCCAGAAACACTCTTATTCCTCCCCGCTCTCTCGACATAAGAAATCGTCAGCATTCCGAATGGCGAGTCCAGTGTCAGCCTAATATATGTCCTGCATGGTGAGGGTGTGCTTGATTCATCTCACCCTCGGGGTCCCCGCCGGCGCACATTCGCCACGCATTTCAGAAGTCTTTTCGCTCGGCTCGCGCGCGCATCGAAAATCCACCCTGCGAAGACTTTACACGGGCGTCATAAGCTGACGCACTTAATTTAAAGATCGTCCAGCGTCGAAAAGTCTTGGGCGCGAGGGTCGTTCCCCTCGGCTTTCTCTCAGTCTCTCTCCCTCCCTCCCTCCCTCTCTCTCTCTCTCTTCCTTTCTATTCTGTTCTTTCGTTTTTTTCATCCATCACAGTTCATGCAGCTCCGCGCGCGGTGGCGGCTTTACAATCCGAGCATTCCGCTTTACAGTTCATTTCGCTCGCGGCGGCGCTCTTTTCCTCTTCATCGAATTATTTCGATCTCGTCGACGGAAACGCTCTCCGATTGTGCTCGGCGTTTCCGAGGCGCCGTTTCTCGCGCGATTTCGATCGGCGGAAACTCGATCGAATTAGTGACGCTCTGTTTGCTCTCCCAATGTCTCTACTCCGTCGTTACTTATAACGTTATTCGATTCCGGTTATTTACTCATTCAGTCTCTCATTGCATCTGGGCGGGCGTATCCGTAGATAATTAACGAAGTTAATGTCGCGAATTGTTTCGCACATCATCGATACGTTATAATTAGAATATAGAGGTATAGAAATACATTCAATAGTACAGATGCATCGACTTTATTTAACCGTCAGTCGTAGCGAATAAGCGGTACGTTAATTTTTCATCTCTCCAGAAATGAACCCTTCTAATCGTACGGACTTTGACTCCTCGCGCGATCGATACCGCGTGTCCTTTGTCGATCGGTCGACTTCTTTGGCATCTTACCGATTTCGATCCGGTCGTCGGTTGACGCAAGATTCGGAACGTCAAGTAACAAGGGAACGAAAGAGAGAGAGAGAGAGAGGGGGGGGGGAAGAACGAGAACGAGAGAGGGTCGCATCTGCGTAGGCATGTGGCAAATTGTCGAGCTGCCCGCTGGAAGGGAACCGTCCACGGAGGTGGAGGCGCCTCCGCGAAGGACGAAGTGGCGAGACCAGCAGGAAGGACGAAGCGGAGGAGTGGACGATAGACGCGGCGGTACGCGAGAAGGAGCGATATATATACGCGAGACGAAGTGGAAGGTAGGCGGCGGGTAATCTGTGATTCAAAGAGAGCGATCCATCTTGCGACATGCCAGGATTCAATCGGCGGCATTTGTTTGTGAAATCAGTCCCGCAGGACTCGGCCCGTCGCTTCGTCGTCTCCGTGCCACCATGCCGCCCGATTCGCCGATTGTCTCCGCGCAGGCACGACAAAACTCACAGGACCGAAGGACGTGAATGGAAAACGCGCGGGATGCGTGCGTCTTATCGAGCGGCGAGTGTGCGAGCGTGCGAGCGATTCTTTCCTATCGATTAACGTAAACGGCGCACGATAGGCAGACCGAGGCACTCCGCGCGTGCGCGACCATGTTTTAACTGTGTGCGAAATGCAACATCTTCGCAGAAAAGACGCTCGAAACAGTCGAGACACGCGTTTCCGAGTTTCACGTGTGAGTTTAGAAGGAGAAAGAGAGAGGGCGAGACTGCTACTAATAATCAATTTTTCAGAAATATAATTTGCTCCGCGCAGGAGCAGAAATCGATGTATGACGTCAAGCGAAACATTTTCATCGGCGATCAGCAAAGGAGCGCCGACGGGGCGTGTCGCATGATCGACGCCAAGCAGGGCTAATAAGGCCATATATATTTATTCAGCTAGTTATTTATTCAGCGGGGCTGAACTTTATATCCTTGGACACAGGACTGAAGATACGGAAAGTGAGTGGGAGAGAGGGACAAAGAGGGAGAGCTTCGCGGGGGCACGGAGGACTGCGCAGCTTAGTATTCGGAAAAACCAGAATACCGGGGATAGATTCGTGCGTCTGATCCGTGCCAGATCCCATAAAATGACCCCTAGCACGATCGAGTGCCCGCCATGCCGCGCCCGCACCCTCGGTACTATCGCGCGCGCGCGCGAGAGGCCACCCCGGAAAATTATTGCTCTCCTTATATATTCGTCCGTACTGCCGAATTGGGGCCGAGTCGAATAAACTCATGCCCTTTGGATACGATCGGGAAAATAACGATTGCCTCGCAGAAGAGGATGGACGAGGAGGTCGGAATTACGACTGAGCGAACTGATCATTTTATACGTCTTTTTTTTTTTTTTTTTGAAGAAATTTATGAGATTTGTTAAGTCGCGACTGTGTGCCTAACATTTAACGCTGCATCATCGGGAGAAATGTACACGATCGCAAGATGAGGAGAAAGAAGTGTCCATTGGCAAATAATTTCGAGATATATAATACCGAAAGCAGCGAAATCGCAAGGATGACGATTCGGTCGATTTCATTAAAATCGAGTCGAATTAGTCTTGTAAAATAAAGTCAACAGTCTCGTTGATGAGAAGGACGGAAATGAACGCGGGGCGTGATATCGTTTACACGCAAGAAATGCTATAAATATCAAATGTCTCGTATCTGAAAAACCCTGTGATCCCTTATCGTTCCTCTTCTTACAACCCAGGAGAGATACACAATCTTGCAAAAAATAATATGCTGCGTACGTCTTGGAGAGTACGAGTTGGTCTTGTTCTAGTATGCAATCGCTGAATCGTAAATATCGCGTTAGCCACAATTACCACCAGTAGAACAGTAACGGAATAACTTAATAAGCGGAATCGCTCGGATATACGCAACAGTGTTAACATTGCGCCAGGGTACATTACGCCATACCCCGAGGAGTCGGCTTTCCAATGTATTAGCAATTATTACAATACATTACACGCCTACGCGCACGCTTTTTAATAATTGCCGTAGATAAATCCAGTGCCGCGCCGCTATTGTTTGCATCTCGGATTATTGCAATAAAGCTGTTGAGCAATGATGAAGTTTACCGCGAGTATCAGAGCGTTGCTACTTGATAAGAAGCACAAGAAGATAGTGTAGAATATATTTTTATGTATATTATGCGTGATAAAGTGAACAAAGAGTAAGGAATGTTCTGAGAAAAGGAATATCTTTTTTATTGCTTCATTGCTTCGATATTAACATTTTGCGTCTATCTTTAGTTTAAATTTCATTTTTCACCATGCCACGATGCAAAATAGTCTTGTTGGAGTACTTCTTCGTCTGTATTAAGTCGTTTTACTATTTTATTGCAACTATCTTGAGACAAAGTTTCAGAGCGAAAGAAGGTTAACGAACAAATGCGCACAAAGAGAGAGAGAGAGAGCGTGGATTTTGTATTTGCAAACATGTGCACACGCAATGTATTTTTCGCATGGCTACAGGCATGGCTTATCCCATATCATTTCTTCTGGTCGAATTGCTGCCTGCCGCCGTAGTGGTAGTCAAGGTACCTGTAACCTTGCGTGAGTTGGGCCCCGGCGTTAGTCACGTGGCACGCCAGCAGTAACAGATTTCGTGGTTGTACTTTCCAAGCGAATCGCATGAATACCATGGAATAGAGGGTCAAGGCTGAAAATTGTTCGGAAGAAAAATTAAATCGCACGCAAAAGCTGCGCGGTCGATACGCGCGGATCTGTATTGCAAATTTCATCTCTCTTGCAATGCGAATTCAACTAAAAGGTAAAAGTATGTAAACAAAGAGCGAAGAGAGCGAGCTTTGATGTATGTGCGTGCGATGCAGCAATGCGCTTCAAAGAGAGACTCGTCGTCCATTATATTCATTCATTTATATTTCATTAGCGTCTAGATAAGTTTCAAGAGGTTTCTTCTCGCAGAAAGTCATGATTCGCTGCTCACCGCTTCGCGAAGATTCAGAAGAAGCTTTCGGCAGCGAACATTACGTTCGAACGCTTGAACGTGGCTCGTAACATTTTACTGTAACATTTTACTTGTATACGCGTTTTAGACCGGTATGCATCCCAGACATTCGCGGCGTGCCGCTCATTAAGAAATAAACGGCTATTTGCTGCGCCCGAGCAGCAATTATTTTATGGGTCCCTCCCCAAGCCCCCGCCTCACCCCCTTGCCACTCAGCTGCACTGCTCGCCGCGCACCCTCTCGCTCTGTCGCGATACGTGATTATTATGAGACGGAGAATGAATTCTTCGAAAGGTCCGGCAGTGGAGCTATGTCGAACTCACCTAAAGTCATTTTGCCGCTAATGATTCTCGGATGCTTTCGCGTGTCGGATATGGCCGCTATAGGTATCATCCAGTTGAATACCGGGCCCCAGAAGTGCGTGCTTAAAAAGTAATCCATTTTCCATAAATTATGCTCTTGCGATGGAGGTACGAGCGCTAAAGTACCGAGAGCAGTCGACTGAGAGAAAGACAAATCTACTCTCATTCACGACTATGATTGACAAAGTAATATACTATAAATAATAAATGTGTGTATGCCAACGGAAGCAAGAATTATAGATTGAGAGTTGCGTATCAAATATTGGTAAATGAGAAAGCGTAATGTGCGTGACAGATTTTTCACTGAGGGAAAAAAGAAATGGACTTTTTATGTATAAATTCGTCGATGGAATTATTATTAAGATCCAAGTAAAAGTTCGTAAATATCAGATAATGCTATATATTTTTCTTTCGCATTATATTTCTTATTTAACGACAAATAGAGATTTCTGATTTAACATAATCGCTGTTTCATGCGTCATATGCGATATTTTCAAGTCGACATGCGTGCATATTTTGCGCGAACGTTACCTCGTTAAGTAATCTCTAGTTTCTTTGGTTATCAGAGGTTTCGGCACTCTCCTAGACATGACGGCGGAAGTCGTGACACGTTTCCGATGTTAACAAGAACGATTTTAGTCACGCACGCACCACGAGGTCACGTGAATCGCAGAAAATTGGTTATATTTAGTCTAAATGTATAACCCTAATCAGCTCCGACATTGACAGTTTCAACTGAAAGGCGTCGAAATCAAACGATAAAGCCAATACCCGGAAACACAGTTGATTTCCAAGCGGTCGTTACTTCCGTTATCGCGACTTCTTATGATTTTATCACGGGCATGCGATCTCGCTTATCATCATCTCGAGGATTTCTAATCGGCGTCAATTTCCACGGTAATTTCCTCCTTGAGTGTGCACGCAGCGTTGTGATTGACGCAACCACGCGTTATCTTATTGCACACTCTTGGATTTTTTTTTGAGAAATTAAATTTTAAGGCATGAATACACACGCTCCATGCGCATACATACATACATATACGCGCGTGTACGCGGAATCACACACCGAAGCGCTATGACTGACGGTTGATAAGTGACATGATATTATCACCGCGATAACGGACAAAGTTGTAAAGCAGTTTCTGAGACGAGCAACGCGTTTGTACTTTCCGCACTTTGATTCGAAGTCGTTCTAATACTCGGACTAACGCGTCTTTTATGGCAGTTTCAAACGGCCGAGCTGACCGAGCGCGACCTTTTTCAGCCGAGTCCGTGACTACTGAACGCCAACTGTCGGTACTACGGATCGTCAGAAAACCGGAATTCCAAGTCAAGATCTTTCGATTCGCTGTTTACGAAATAAGCATCGTTAGATATCGTTTCGCAACAGGTATTTTCCTGGTGTGGCAACCGATTTGCATATCAAGGTTGTGAGCTTATCGTCGCGTACTGCTTGGCAGACAAACACGTATTATGAATGCGAGAATATGCAACTATTAATATGCACGTTTTTATATTCGATTTACGATGTCAGTCGATTTTCCTGCAGCTCCAGATACTTTGGTATTCAGTTTATCCGGCGATCAGCTTACAAGTGGAGCTTATGAATGAATATCATAAAGTTTCCAGTCTTCTGTGCATTTTTATTGCTCACTTGACTTCTGTGTGCGTAGTCTTTCATGTAGACAATGATAAATTCACAATAAAATGTCCTTAGAATCAGAGCTATCAGAACGCAAGTGTGTGGGAGTTGATAGTAGAAAGAAAATTACTATTCTCGGATGTCGCGATATGTTCTCGATTTAAGCGTTGATTAGACAATTTGCTCACCAACTGGACAATAGACATTTCGCGCCGATCCGTCTTCTGTCAGGACCCTTCGTTGTCAGTCGATCGATCTGCATAACAGTTCGCACGCAAATATTTCATCGTAAGCCGTCTCCAGTTTTCCTTTTTTTTGTGTCGTCTTACGGAGTGACGCTTGCGCGAGAAGACTGCCTCTTGTTCTTCTCATAATAAATGCACAGGTTATTATTTCGCGCGTATAATATTGATGGCGCTATGAATGTTGCATGGAGGGGTACACGACGTCCTGAGCGCGGCTCAACGGGGGTGGAAACCAGCTCGCGTATGGGGGTTGTAACGGGGGATGCTGCTGGGCGCATGCGTCGCCGCGGGAATGGTATTATTGATCTAGGAAGGGGGCGGACTATAAGACCCTCGAAGACCAGCAGTGTGTCAAGGCGACCTCGGCACCCTCGGCCTGACGATATTCCAAGTTCGATAAGCGATCATGATCGCCACCGACAGAATCTTGGAGCAATTCCTCTCTCCGAGTAAATACACTGCATTGCTTTGCGGGCAGCTTGAGGAGACACGCGGAAGTGTGGTCGCAGGGTAGACTTTCCACGCGGAAGGTTGTGTTGAATCAAAGTACATTGTACTTTTATTCTCAAATGTTATTTCTCTTCCGGTGTTATGCCACGATCGAGTTGTATTTCCGATTCAGACTCCCGCGAGACTCGTAAAATTACAGTAGTTGCTTGGCTGACGAGCGGATTATTCTCTTATCGTACGGCGTGAATGTCCGATGCAATTTCATCCGTTATATAATTTCTGAAACGTTCTCTACTTCACTGAACTGTGTCGCGTGCAGATAATTTTAGGATTTATTACTTGGGCGACGTTGTGAGGACACAGGTCCTTCGTCGATCTCTTCATACGCGCAATTCATACGCCGAGGTCGACCTTCAGCCGCGAAAAAGCAGAAGAGCTCTCTGTCGGCTGTTTATGTAAAATACAGTAGGAGAGAACTTTCTCTTCTCGTCCCGTTGCCGTGGTATCCAATTTTCAGAAGAGACTCGATTACGTGTCGAGCGCCCCGGACAGGCGCCCGATATACACGCACCTAGAATCGACTGTGTTCCCTGCATATGCATTCCCGTATGTAGCGTTCGCACGAGTGTCTCTCCCCATCCGAAAGCAAATCCTTATCCCGCGGTCCCTAAGTCCCCCAGGCCACCATCCGAGGCACTCAAGAGTATTGCCGCTATTTTCCGTCTCGCGTATTACGCCGTGGCGCGCATTTCGCGATCCTCCAGGAATGTCATTTACACGCGACGTGTTCCCTTTGACATGTATCAATATTTATTCTGACCTATCAGCCGCTCCGAAAATCTTTCAAGATATCGTTACATTTACAACACTTGACTTCTTGCGTTTCAAAAAAGCTGCGCCGCGTATAAATGTGAAAGTGTAAACGTACGAACAATAACGCCGGAATATTCAACTTCTTTTATTACAACGCATGATATCTCCTGAATAAAACTTTACGATCAAATAGCGTCCCGAGGATGAAATATTCACATGCGGTTAATACCATCAAGCCACAGACAAGAAGCGTAGCCTCGCGCTATAATGGATGAAATTACGGCAAGCGAAAGCACTCGTTGAAAGTTCGGCGAATTCGTTAATTATTCGCGCAGGACGTGGAAGTACGAAGAGCGAAGTCGAAACGAAGTTAACCGACTCCACGCATCAATTCCTACGTGGCACAAAGCAAAAACACGCGGTACATTCGCACGTATTTCATTTGTATTCGGCCGGAGGAAATGGCACGGCCTCTGATGTCTCTTGCTGACGCGCCCCGAAAAACCTTTTCTACTCCACCGTCGTCTCTTTCCCGTTCCGTCCGGTGGGGTTCCCTCGGCCTGCGGAAACTGATCTGAATGCGTCCTACGTATTTGCCAACGCCCCCGCGCTCTACGTCTTTTCAGAGTCGGCCGTCGGCAAGCACTCGCCGTCACCGCCGCCGCCGCCGCCGCCGTCTCCTCCTCTCGCGCACGACACGTTTCATCCCCCTGCGAATAAAAAGTCGCGTGTTCACGTGAGTTCGCCTCGTGTTTGGGGGAGGGCGAACCTTCGTCCTGCGAAATCGTCGCACACGCAAGCGACACGGTCGTAAGATTTAGAACCGCACTCTGCTGGCAACACGCTTCTCGACTCCGCTCCCGTCGATGACATCGCGCGACTAAAAATGTGACGTGAAATTTTGATTGTTCAAAGGGGTGGTAAAAACCCGGGTAAAAACACAATCAGTCAAATTCGTACCACGATAATTTGCGTGCCCGCAAATTACGTATGATTGTTATTGCGTTAAATAACTCATTGATGACAACTCATCAGTTGTTTTATAATTGCAAGTTTGTGACCGCGGTACCGCGAGCGGTTGCGATCTCGCCGCGCCGGCTGCACGTTACGACCGTCGCATTCCTCAATGTAAGTCGCGTTTCATTAAAATTATACTCGTGACTTGTAATTACCGATCGGACTTGAACGCGAAACGAGAGCGTCCTTTTTCCCTCGGCGGATTCTGTCCCTTTGGTCCGCGCCCCGCGTATACCGCTCTGACAATGCTTTTAATTACCCGCCGCGGAGAGTTCGATGTACGGATCGAATTATAGGCCGCGGTCTCCGCCGACGTATGAAACCGGCGCTACCTCCGATTGATGCTGGGCTAATTAAAGTGCACAATTAGAGGAGGAATGATTGCCAGATTCGCCCGCCTCGACGGGACGCCCGTGAAAAAATCTCACAATTTATATCCCATTGCCCTTGCCTCGTATGTCATTACGAGCGAACTAAGAACTTGTAAAATTACGAACATTTAATTACACTGGTCACGGCTCTTCGTTTCCTTCTCTCTCGTGCGTTTCCATTCGGAAATCATCGACCATGTCATACGGCCGAGCTCCTTTCGCATGACTTTGTCATCGAAATTGCGCGCGGCTTAGCAATTCGCACTTCTTAATTGCGGGATTGCGCTATCTGCTTGGGCTGTTGGTTTCTGTGCCTTTCGCAAGGAATAAAAGAATCGGACATTCCTGCAGGCGTTCTCTCGTTTACGCTCGTACATCAATGTCACTTAAAGTCAGGAAAATTTCTCTTAACAATTTTTCTCGCGGGTGTAAAAGAAATTGTCTGCAAGTGCGCGCGCGCGCGTGTGTGGGTGTATTATATATATATATAATATCTCTCGGTACAATAATCAAATAAAATTTGTCATACGGATCATGTGTGGCATAGTAAATGCCGTTGTATCCTATCGTCGATGGTAATTGAAAAAAATCGTGCAACCCCGTTGAATCAAAAATAAATAATATTTAATCCTGAGTTAATTTATACATGTTTACACTAAATTGCATCCATTTTATTATTATTATGAAATTCTTGCATAATTAATAATTAGTCAATTCCATTTCGATTTCTTTGGTCGTCTGGTATTCTCTTAATTTGACAACAAAGATACGATAATTTCATCCCATTCTGACAAATATTCGAAACGGTGCCATTAATAACTAAGATTTCGAGCTTTCCGCCTGGGATCACAAAATTCCGAAGATTAATCTTCTTTTTAATTAAATCTTTTCTTTAATTAAATAACGACTTTAGAGACGGACGGAGATATATGTACCAACTTCTGTTTCGATTCTCGTTACATTGTCGATTTCTCGACTGAAATTAAGTAATTCGCGGTAGCGCGGATATCCTGAATTTATTGTTTTAAAACATTTCTGCGAGATATTCTCATATCTCGTATATAATCATAAAAGGATTCTGCATTATTTACGTAAAAAATTTTCTACGTAAAAATCCAATAAGTCAAATATGAATTTTGCGATAAAAATCTTTTTGAAAATCTTAGGACATCACGGATTTATATATTCAACTGAACTATTCAAAGTACACAGATATGAGACGTGAGGAACGATTGATGTATAGACGCTGGCGGCGCGGCACGTAGTGAAACGCGCGTACGAAGTATTGATTTTCCGCATTTGTCAGAACGCCGATGTAGTACACGCGTGTGGCGAAGCTGTCACGTTCGACTACAATGTACCCTCGTCCCCTTCCGTTTCCGATGGTTGTAGTATCCCATACACCATGGCAGCGTGTTCGGTACGCGACATTCATGCAAAAAGGATGCGTGGGTGGTTCGGTTCGGCAGTCCGGCACGGCCACGTGCAATCTCCGAAAAGTGCAGTATCGGGACGAGACTTATGAGGGCTACACGTGAATACAGGCCATTATTCCGCGCGATAAAGCAATTTTCTCGCACTCACGGAATTATGTTTCTGCTATTTAGCATCGGTTAGGTATCGTGCGGAGAGGAGAGAATCGAGAAAAGGGAGAAACGCGGGTAATACGAAATAGGAAGAAAATGGAAGGGCGGACAGGAAGAGAGGGAGAAGGCAGGGGTGGAAAATTCCCGATAGGGAAAGCTCGATGAAC